TCACAGGCCTCTTTCCAAAAGGAATGTGGGTGGGATCAGATTGGGAAGGGCTACCGCTGAGCCAGCTCCTGCCTGCTGTAGGCTGATCAGAGCCCTAATGTAGCAGGACTGTGCATGTGGCAGTTCTGTCTGGCTGCCACCTTGGCACCACTGTGGGGAAGGGGGTTGCAATACTTGGTTGAGAACCACTGGTCTATATAAACCACAGAAATTAAAGGTCATAAGAATTCTTACCAGTAAAAAAACAGCTCAGGAGCTAAAGCATACATGTGTTCCAGTCCTTGGACAGGGAACTATACAAGCAACTCGCCAGCCAGGAGGCATTAGAGGGCTGCTCTCTGGGCTCCTGTCAGGCTTTAGTAGAGCTGACTGACTGATGGCTTGCCCTCTCCCCTGCTTGGGAAGGGGGAAGGTTGTTAACTGGTGGTTGGCAGCTGCTAAAAAGCAGCAACTGTCACAGTCCGGGGGGCATGCCAGCCTTAGGAGAATATCCCCCACCCCATCCTACCAATCAGCTGATTGGAGGAAGAGAGGGCCATTTTTCTGTGCCTGTCAGGCCAACCTGAAGGAGCGTGGGATGGGTGGGTGCATTCTGCCTGGTGGCAAGCCTCGCAGTGGGATGGCAGCCTGCCTCGCAGTGGGATGGCAGCCTGCCTCCCCTCGTAGTCCTGCAGGCTGACCCAGAGCAACGTGGTGGGAGGCGGGGGCACTTTGCCATGGTGGCAAGACTCCTCTAGCCTTTCCATTGCACACGACATTCTGCCTTACTCCACGCTGCTCCAGCAGAGGGCGGGCAGCCTGGGGCATTTTCCTGTGGCACAAAGGCTTCTACTGGAGAAGAATGCCCACCTCCCACCAAATTGTTGATTGGTGGGAAGAGGGGATTTTTTAGGGCAGGGTCTCCACAGAGACCCCTGACAGCTAACCCCTGGGCAGGCTACTGGGGAGTCAGTACTCACCCTCCCTTTCTGCTGGACAGTTAGCTTCGGAGGAGGGAGACCTTCCTGGTAAGTATCCAATCTCACTTCTTGCAGAAGAGCCATTTCTCTTCCACAAAAATTCCCCCAAATGGCTGTACGTTCTCCTTGTACTGAGAGAGAAGCACCACAAAAGTAAAGCTTGTTCATGGCCTGAAATTATCTTGCCTCTTAAAAGCCTTTGAGACTTACTTTTCCATGATTCAATGAATGTGTTAGCTTGTGTACAACAGTCTGCATAGTTGAAGGTAGCTTCCTGCAGAGAATTCTGGGATAGCTCTGTGTGCACTCGTAAAGGAACCAAAAAAAAAATGTTAGCTTGTTGCTAATAAACCCAGAGCTAATTAGCATACCACTCTGCCCCAGGCAATAAGGCTTTCCTGCTTTTGCTTCCCCAGTTTAGATATCTGTTTGGCATTGCCTTCATCTCTATAGGTCAGTTATCCTCAACTTTTCTGAACCCGAGGCACCCCTCATTGGACTCAAGGCACCCTCCATAGCTTCTGTGAACTGAGTGGCACCCAATCTAAAAACCTAATTTGTAGATTATAGCTCTTACTTCTTTGCAGAAGAACCTGGCAGGAAAATAAGGGATCATCCAGGCAGGGACAAGTCTGAGCCTGTGCTTATCTACTTAAGTTTTTCTGCTTATCTCGTAGCTCCTCACTTACCTCTGCACACCTCATGGCACCCTTCAAAAGATCTGGTGGCACCCCAAGATGCCCTGACACCCTGATTGAGAATCATTCATATTGACCAAGGTTTTGAATGTAGAGATGTGTCTATCACAGACTGCTTGGGCAACTTACTTGAATTTTCATTCTGCCAGTGCTTTCCCTATAAAAACACTATTCCATAAAGATCTATATTCTATGCTCATTGTGGTAAAATCTGAGCACCTACCGCACTGAGGTGTAATGATAATATTTGTTAGCCATGATTATGAGGATCACATAAGTAGATGAATACATCCCTGGTGTCTAACCTTCTCAAATACGAACATGCAAGATGCAGCACTTGCAGTGTGTTTAGTGAATCAGAATGACAGTGTCTTATCACCAGGCAAGTCACCTGTTTACAAGAGAAAAAAACTGTAAATGCATTAGCTATGTAAATAGCTCCTTAAAGTATCAACTATAGACTTTTGGTGGGGTTCAGTGAGCTTTGGGGAATTGGGAGGGAGAGAGAGAGCTGCAATAACTCAAAATGCAGGAGTGAGTAAGGGAAGAGACCTGTAAAGTTAACCTAAGCAATGACGGGTTTTTAGCTACTTAGGGTAATATGTTACTTCTCAGCCAGGTTATGTACAGGCATACAGTTTCTACTGGGAGAATCGCTGTTCTCTCATTAAAAAATAAATGTGCAGGTGTTCAAGCTTTCTCCCTCAAAGTAGAAATGGTTACTCTGAGAGAAAAATAACCTGGGAATAATCAGGGTTATATTGCTTCTGGAATGTCTGCACATCTTTCCCAGGCTTGACTCCTTCCAGGGACAAGGAGGAGCAGAGCTAAGGGAAAGGTTGCCATGCCTTTTGAAAACTAGGGTTATCTCAGTCTGGAGAAGGTGTCTTTTTTCCCCATCCCAGACAGGGTCAGCCCAGAGGACTGCAAGGAGCAGAGCTATTCTCCTGTGGATGCCTCCCCCCCCCCC